TTCAAAAATATAATTCTTCACAGGAATTCAATTTTTTAAAAAAGTTTTGATAAAATTCGTTGTAAAAATTCAATTATTTTTATAAATAAAATTTATCGCAGAATTTCAATTATTTTTTATACAGTTTTAAATGAAATGATAGAAAATTGCATTTATTCTTAAATTTTTTTTAAATTCGCCGAAAAAATTCAATTATGTTTAAAAATTTTTTTTAAATTCTCTTCAAAATTGTAATTTTCAAAAGTAATAAAATTCTTCTCCGAAATTCAATTATTTTCAAAATTTTTGATAAAATTCTTGACAAAAGTTCATTTACTTTGAAAAATTCCCCTCAATTCAATTATTTTTAATATCTACTATTTTAATAAAATTTTCCAAAAGAATTCAATTATTTAAGCAATATTTTAATAAGCATTTCATAGAAATTCAATTACTTACCAAATCTTTATAAATTTCTTCGCACCAATTCAATTATTTTTAATTTTTTAAAAGAAGTTTCTTTACAAGATTTAGTTAACAAAATTGCAATTATAATAAAATTTCCCTATACAATTCAATTATTTTCAATACAATTCTTCTTAAGAATTTAAATATTTTCACAAACATTTTTTTATAGGAATTTAATTATTTAAAAAAATTTGAATAAAATTCATCGCAAGAAATCAATTATTTTATTAAAATGTAATAAAATTTTTCTCGAGAATTCAATCATTTTAAAAATTTTTGATAAAATGCTTATGCTTTATGAATTTGAAAAACTAAAATAAAATTAATCATAGAATACAATTATTTTTGAAGAATATAATATTCTTCCTGGGAATACAATTATTGTCAAAAATGTTTGTAAAAATTTTCGAAACAGTTCAATTATTTTCGTAAAAAATAAAATTCTTCCAAGCAATTCAATTATTTAAGAAATTTTAATAAAATTCTTCCCAAGAATTCAATTCTTTTCAAAAGTAAAATTTTTTACAGGAATTCAATATTATTTAAAAAAAAAAATTTTTTATAAAATTCTTCGTCAGATTTCAATTATTTTCAATTTTTAAATGAAATTTCTGGATATGGAGTTTAATTATTTTTAAAAAGTTTTAAAAAATTCTGAGAAATTCAATTATTTTAAAAAATCCGGATAAAAATTCTTCACAAGAAATTAATTATTTTCATTAATAATATTTTTCTCCGGAATTCAATTATTTTCAGAAATATAATTCTTCACAGGAATTCAATTTTTTAAAAAAGTTTTGATAAAATTCGTTGTAAAAATTTAATTATTTTTATAAATAAAATTTATCGCAGAATTTCAATTATTTTTTATACAGTTTTAAATAAAATGATAGAAAATTGCATTTATTCTTAAAAAATTTTTTTCAACTCGCCGAAAAAATTCAATTATTTTTTAAAATTTTCATAAAATTCTTCATAAAAATTCAATTTTAATAAATTAATAATTTATTAAATAATTAAATATAAATATTTATATTTATATTCAATTATTTAATAAATTATTTATTTTTGTATTTAAATAATTAAATTCTCGAAAAATTTTTCTAATAAAAATTGATTTAAGAATGAATTTCACTTAAAAGTTTAAATAATAATTTAATGTTAAAAGCATGCTGGCGTGAATTTTTAAAAATTATTGAATTTCGAAAAGGATTGATTGATCGATTTCTTTATGTTTTTATTCTCCTAAGTTATTGGATTTCAGAAGGTTTGAATTTGAAAATCTTAACTTCTAGAGAAAAATATTAATGATTAAATATTTATTCAAAAAAAGAAGTTATTGATATTTTCGAATAATTTTGCATTTAAGGAAATTCGTAAATAAATGTAATAGAATATTTTTTTGGAGTATCTAATAATTTTTGGAGTGAATCAGAATATATTTTTCAGGGTCAGGGAGAAAGTCGAAATTTTGTCTGGAAATCAGGGAAAAGTCGGGAAAAAACAAAATTAAATTTTGTGTAGAAACCCTGATTATCTAATTTCTAAATTTATTTTTTGAAAGTAATTTACAATTTTCTATTTTAATAAAATAGTGAAATATTTTTATAGAATAGCCCAGCAAAGAAATAAATTTCAGGTCTCGAATTCACGTGTCTATATTTCTTGCGACATCCAACTATTTAACTACATATGACACTTTTGGTTTTATTTTTTATTTCTAATTTCTAATTTATCTTTTTTTTATAATATTATTTATATATTATATTTATTTCTAAATTCAATTCTATGCGTGAAATTTTTTTTCCTTCGAAAACAATAAATATTTAAATAAACAATAGATAAACTTTAAAAAGTAGAAAATAAATATTTATTTTATTATTATTAAATAAATGTTTGTTGTTTGTCTTCGACAAATAGAATTTTCAAAAAACAAAAAGAGCAATAAATAAAAAGAAAAAACAAGTTTTGATATTCACAAGTGGTAAATATTATAGCCAACAGTCCGATTATTTGTGGAGTCGTAAATTTTTTTCACCCTCCCAAAAAATCGTAAAAAATAGATGTCAAGCGAAATTTTCAATATGTTAAAATCGTTTTTCTCTTTTTTTTTTCTTTAAATCATAATTTTTCAAATGTTGATGACACTCAAACTCAAATTGTGCGGTAGAATAAACAATATTGGCGCGCAATGTTAACTTTCGGTTGGGTAATAAATTTTTTTCGCGACATACATTTCCGTGGGGTCAAATCGGTGAGAAATTTATGCAAATGCCTCACGCTTGTGTGTGTGGGGGAAAAAAAGCCACTATATACATATATATATAAGACGGAAGTCTACGGCAAACAAGAGAAGAATGTGGAAATGAGGAAATGGCGTGAAAACTCCCCAACTTCACTTGAGACGCAACGGCTCCTGGCACGAATTCATGCCAGGAGTGAGAATCAGCGATTTTATGAGTACCCGTAGATTGGGATAGATTGTGAGAGAAAGGAGAGGGCGGAAAAGGAGAAAGAGAGAGTGAGAGAGGAGAGGGGGAAGAAGGGGGGGTGATGTCTGGAGAGTTTATGATGCTCCCTTTTACTGTTACAGTATGTTTTCGGGATCATAAATTGAACAAGCAATCATTTACATTATCTATTCTTTCAAAATGAATGTTCTTTTTTGCATTATTTTTTTTTCTTTTTTTTTTTGCTATCTTTATTATTATATTCTTTGTTCGCAACTTTTGCCATTTTCGAATTTTCCAAATCGTTTCGGAGAGATTTTGATGGCGCGATCTTTAAAATTGGATTTTGGTTGTTGAGAACATTTTATTTTGAATATAGAAAATAGTTTTAGTTCTTGATTTTTTTTTATTTGACACAGTTTCTTTTTAAGGATATTAAATGAAGACAAAAAATCGAATCAAAATTTTTAAAAATCCTAATTAAATTCTCTTGAAGAGTTTCTATAATAATTTCAATTGAAAATTATTGAAAGTAATTGAATTTTATGAACAATAAATTATTCAAAAAAAAAATAAAATAAAAATAATAAAATAAAAAAAAATAAATAATAAAATAATCGTGTATCTTAAATTTAATAAAATATAAAGATTAATTTAATTTAATATAAAAATTAAATATAAAGATTTAATTATTGAATTTTATTAAAAGTTTTAAAAAATAATTAAAGTCTTGAGAATTTTATTACAATTTTCTAAACTAATTTAATTCATTCAAGAAATTTTATTAAAATAACGAAAATAATTAGATTCTTACAAAAACATTTTTTAATTTATTTAATTTAATCGATTTTGTTAATAATTGTAATTAATAACTTCACTATTAAAATTTTGTTCAAAATATTGATAGAAAGTTAAAATTTTTTAAACAATTTTATTAGAGTTTTTGTAAATAATTAAATTGTTTTGAAAAATTTTTAAAAGTTTTTTTTTTTTTTAAATAGTACAGTTACAGTATTTTTTCAAAATATTTGTATTTTTGCAAAGAATTTTATTATTTATAAAAATAATTGAATTCTTTTGAAGGATTTATTATAATTTTAGAAAATAATTGAATTCTTTCGTTAAATTTTATTGAAAATAATTAATTTTTGCAATGATTTTACTATTTAAAGAAATATTTGAATTGTTTTGAGGGATTTATAAAAAATTTAGAAAATAATTGAATTCTTTCGAGAAATTTTATTAAATTTTTGTTGAAAACAATTGAATTTTGTGCAAAGAATTTTACTATTTATAAAAATAATTGAATTGTTTCAAAGGATTTATTAAAATTTTAGAAAGTAATTGAATTTATTTGGAAACTTTTATAGAGAATTAAGTAAAAAATTTAATTTTTTCGTGAAATTTTATTTTGAAAATAATTGAATTGTTTTGAAGGATTTATAAAAATGTTAGAAAATAATTTAATTTTTTCGAGAAATTTTATTAAATTTTTGTGGAAAACAATTGAATTTTTGCAAAGAATTTTACTATTTATAAAAATAATTGAATTGTTTCCAAGGATTATTATAATTTTAGAAAATAATTGAATCCTATTGAAATATTTTATATCGAATTAAGAAAAAAATTGAAATCATTCTTGAAATTTTTTTTAAAAATAATTGAATTTTTGTAAAAATTTTACTATTTAAAAAAATAATTGAATTTTTGCAAAAAATCTTACTATTAATAAAAATAATTGAATTTTTACGACGAACGTTATTATTTATAAAAATAATTGAATTTTTTCTAAGAATTTTATTAAAATTTTTGAAATTAATAAACAAGAATAATTAATTAGTAAATTAGTTAATAATTGGATTTTAGTAACTTTTGCTAGTTTTTTAACTTTTGCTTTTTGCTCACAGTTTTTTTTAAGCATAAGGACCTCAAAACTTTGTATCTTGTTTTTAAAATCGTTAATTATTGTAATATTTTTTAATTTCTTAATAATTTTTTTTATTTAAAAAAATTAATTAATTAACTAATTAATTAATTTAAAAAAATTTTTTTTTTCTTAATAATTTTCTTTTTTTAATTATAATTATTTTCTTTTTGTTTTAGGTATGGCCAAAAGTTGAAAATACTATTATTTTGGGTGGAAGAAAACTTCAATTTTAGCAAACATCAATTGTTTGTTTCACCAAACTGATGACAAATCCGTTTCATATAATCGGTGAGTGAGAAAAATTACCATTTTTTTGTTTTATTGGAAATTTGAGAAACATTTGGTCTCGGAGTATCATTAGAAAAATAATTTATTTTAACCTGTGTTAATATATGAATTTCTTTTATCCAATTGACTGTAAAAAACAAAAAAAAAAAATTTTAATTCTAAAGTTAAAATTTTTTAAAATTTTATCTTAAAAATTAAAAATATTTTTTTGAAACTAACTTTCTGAACATTGACGTAATGGAAAATTGCTGTCCATGTTTTGACAATTGGTATTTAATTTTAAATCTGAAAAGAACATTTTTAGGAAAAAGGTGATTTTTTGGCTTTTAAGTTCTATTTAAGTAGTAAAAGATGATGTAGATCAGACAAAAATATTGTAAGTCGGAGAAATTTTAATTACATTATTAATAAAGAGTTTCAGTCATATATAGGAGTTTTTATCATGAGGAGAGTTAATTAATTATTATAGTTACTTAATTCTTCATAACAAGACGGGTGGAAAATAACTTTGCTACATAAGTAGTATAAAATCGATTAAGTCATACAAGAAATGATGATTTTCTGCTATCTTAATATTACAGTTGGGAATGAATTTAATTTTAGAAATAAATTCCTCTCTTTGCCAGACAATTTTTTTTTTTTATAATTTTTATTGTTTCAGTAGTAAAAGACCGTTTTAGTCAGACAAATTTTATTTTTCTTTCTCTTTGGGGTTTCTTTTAGATCTCAAAGATAGTTTTCGTTAGTCTCTATAAGTCCATAAGCCTTTACAGTCTTAGTCTCAAATTTCGTAGTTTTAATTTTAGTAGTAAAGGTCAGTATTAGTCAGACAACATTCAACTTTTTGCCCGTGCATTTTTTATTCAGTAGTTAATGACTTCTGTAGGCAGACGAAATATTTAATGTTCTAAAAGTAGTAGAAAAATATCCACAAAAATATTTTTATTATTACTATATATCTGTTTTTAATTAAGTAGTTACAGTCGATTTTAGTCAGACAAAAGATAACTACATTCCGTACTTATCTATTTAGTAGTTAAGGAATTGTATAGTCAGATAAAATGTTTAGTTTTATAAAAGTTGTGAAAAACTTACCATTATTGATATTAATTTTTTCTTAAGTAGTAAAAGTATGATTTAGTCAGACAAATGTTAATTTTATTCCCGTACTTATCTAGTTAGTATTTTTTTTTAGTATTTTATAGTATTTAGACTTGTATCTAGTCAGACAAAATGTTTAATTTAACTAAAGTGATAAAGAAACGCCCATTATTATTTTTATTATTGTTTGTTTATGACATAAGTAGTAAAATCCTGTTTTAGTCAGACAAAATGTTTAATTTTTTAAAAGTAGTGAAAAATCGACAAAAAAAAGTATTTTTATTTTTATTATTTTTTAGGTTTTTACTGAAGTAGTAAAATTATGTTTCAATCGGACAGAAGTTAATTTTATTCCCGTACTTTTTTATTTAGTAGTTAATTACTTGTGTAGTCAGACAAAATGTTTAATTCTATAAAAGTAGAGAAAAATCGCCGAAAATTATTTTTATTATTATTAGTTTTTACTTTAGTAGTGAAAGTATGTTTTAGTCAGACAAAATTTCTAATTTTATGAAAGTAGTGAAAATTCGGACTTAATTGTTTTTATTCTTAATACTTAAGTAGTAAAAGTACGTTTTAGTCAGTCAAGAGTTAATTTTATTCCCGTACTTTTTTATTTAGTAGATAATGACTTTTATAGACAGACATTTGTTTTTAATTTTACGAAATTAGTGACAAATCGCCCATAATTATTTTTATTATATTATCAGTTTTTACACAAGTAGTTAAAGTCTGTTTTAGTCAGACAAAAGGTCAGTCTATATCCGTCCTTTAATTCTCAGTAGTTGAAGACTTATGTAGTCAGACAAAGTGTTAAATTTTTCTAAAAGTAGTAAAAAATTACTAATAATTTTTTTTAATTTAAATAAACTTACACATTTTTTTTATTTGTATTTAGTTTATTTTTTTATTTAGTACATTAAGATACAAGTTTGAGAAAAACAAATATGTTTTTTTCTAAAAAATAATTTGCAAATGATTTGCAAAGAACATTTTGATGAAAAAATGTTTTTTTTTGATAATTTAAATCAAAACCTATAAAGAAATATTCTTCGGGTCAAAAATTCTGAAAATAGTCCTTTGAATTTCGTTTATCGATTCTCGAAAAGTTTCGTGACGTGAAAAGATTTACAAATGAGTTGTGTTTTTAGTGAACGAAAACTGGGTACGTAATTTTTGGGGGTTTTCTGTTCTTTTTTCTTTCTTTGTTGCGAGATCTTTTGAGAGAAGGAAGTCTATGTCGTTGATTCTGATGGAAAGAACAGTAGGAACGTGTAAACAGAACAACACTCCCTTCTCTCTCTCTCTCTCTCTCTTTCTCTCTACTGGGAACCTGAGAGGCATTACAATCTAACGGCCCTCAGGTTCTGAATTCACGTTTGCTACGTTATTCTGTAACGTTGCCCGCAATACGTTTCTATCCGTGTTCGGAATACAGGAATATTGAAATACATACCAACGCACGTATTCATTCATGTGCAGATTTTTTTTTTTGAGGACTGTACCTGGTTTCCTTCTTCTCTTTTTTTTTACAATTTTGCTCAAATTATTTTCGACAATTGACAAGCGAAAGAGATATATATATTCTTTTTTTTCGCACGCACTTTGGAATATATAAAACTGACAATGGTCCTTTTGGAAATATTTTTTTAAATTGAATTATATTTTTTAAATTCAGTGCACTTCTATTGGCAATGGTATTTTTGATACACTTTTTTTTTAGAAGAGGAGAATATTTTGATTTCTTTTATTGACGGGGATTTTATTATCGATATTTTATTTTTTGGTGGTGTTTGTTTTTAATTATGTATTTGTTCTTGATTTTTTATTATTAGTCAAAGACAGTAGGAAATAAATTCAATTTTTATTTTGGTTTAATTTTAATTTTGGTTCAACTTACTTTTGGTTCAATTTTAATTTCAATTTATTTTCACTTTTGGTTCAATTTTAATTTCAATTTATTTTCACATTGGTTCAATTTTAACATTGGTACAAATTTTTTGGGTTCAATTTTAATTTCTATATATTTTTACTTTAGTTCCATTTTGGTTTTGGTTTAATTTTAACTTTGGTTCTAATTTTTTTCGGTTCAATTTTAATGTCGATTTATTTTCACTTTGTTTCAAATTTTACTTTGGTTCAATTTTTATTTCAATTCAATTTTATTTTGAATTTTAATATTTATTCAATTCTTATTTTGGTTTACTTTTAATTGCTATTAAATTCTTATTTCGATACAATTTTTATTTAGGTTCAATTTTTGTTTTGGTTCTATTTTAACTTTGGTTTTATTTTTATTTCGGTTTCATTTTTCTTTTGATTTAATTTTAATTTTATTCGATTTTTATTTCTGGACAATTTTTATTTTTTTCAATTTTAATTTCGATTCCCATTTTAATTCAATTTTTATTTTTGTTCAATTTTAACTTTGGTTCAAATTTTTTCGGTTCAATTTTAATGTCGATTTATTTTCACTTAGTTTCAATTTTTACTTTGGTTCAATTTTTATTTCAACTCACTTTTTATTTTGGTTCAATTTTAATTGTGGTTCACCTTTTTTTTGGATCAATTTTTATATAGGTTTTATTTTCATTTCGATTAATTTTCAATTTGGTTCAGTTTTAACTTTGGTTCAAATTTTGATTGCTATTCATTTTCACTTTTCATTTTTCTTTTGGATAAATTTTAATTTTGATTCAAATCTTTTTTTGGTTTAATTTTAATGTCCATTTATTTTTACTTTCATTCAAATTTTAACATTGGTTCCATTTTTATTTCAATTCAATTTTTATTTTGGTTGAATTTTAATTGTGGTTTACTTTTTTTTGGTTCAATTTTAAATTTCGTTCAAATTGTTTTTGGTTTAATTGTATTTGGATTCAAATTTTATTTTGGTTTAATTTAAATTGTGGTTTAAATTTTTTTTGGTTCAATTTTAATTTCGACTTATTTTTTCTTTGGTTCATTTTTTATTTTAGTTCAATTTTTATTTTGGGTCAATTTCAATTTTAAATTCGATTTATTTTCACTTTGGTTCAAATTTTTTTCGGTTCAATTTTAATTGCGATTTATTTTCACGTTTTTTTTAATTTTTACTGTGGTTCAATTTTTATTCAGGTTCAATTTTATTTTCATTCAATTTTTATTTAGGTTGATATTTTTATTTTCATTCAATTCTTCTTTCGGTTAAATTTTTATTTCGTTTTATTGTTATTTTATTTCAATTTTATTTCGTTTCAAAATTTAATTTAATTTTAATTTTTTATAAGGGTTCAATTTTAAGTTTTGTTATAAATAAAATGTATTATTAAATCAGGAAAATATTTTGAATTTAGCACAAATTTTATTTTGGTTTAATTTTAAATTCGGTTCAATTTTTACTTGAGCACTATGTTTATTTTCATTCAATTTTATTTTTTGTTTATTTTTATTTTGCTCTGATTTTGGTTTAAAAAAAAATTAAAAACTTACTTTAAACATTTAGAAACTTTGTAATTAATTTTTTTGGACAGTGACGCAAAATTATTGCAATTAAAATTTTTATTTGAAGAAGAAATAAAGAAATCTCGTTTTTTTTTAGTTTTTATAATTTTAGGATCAGCAGAATTATTAAGAATTAATTAAATAATTCATCAATTAAAGAAACATGAATAAAAAATAATGTCATAATTAGGAAAGTAATTTTTATTTTTTTATTTCTAATTGTTTTGACATAATTTGAATACTATACGTGAAAATAGTAATTACTCGACGTCGACAAAATTATAATCTGAAAAAAAAGAAATGAAATTGACTGTAATGAATGAAAGAGTAAAAAAAAGAAATTGCGAATATTTTTTAACTTAATTAAACTTGATAATTAACAAGAAATTTAGTAGTTGAGCCTCTACCAGTTTGGA